AGTGTGGGAAGGGGCTGAGGCAGGCAGGTGGGGGCCCAGCCAAGAAAGGGCAAGGAGATGGGGAAGACCAGTTGGTGTTGGCCAAGGGGGTCTCACCTGGGGACCTGGCCTAGAGGGGTACAGCTTGGGGCGTGTCTTTGGGTCCCCATCTGGGGTCTGGGGAGGGGTACGAGGTCCCACCTGGGGCCAGCACAGAGGCCTGGGAGGGATGGAAGGGGCCCTTTGTGCGGAGGGTTGGCTGGGGGGCAGCACAGTGACCCCCCCCTCACCTGCAGCCGGGCAGCGTGCTCCTGCTTGCGCTTCATGTCGTTGATGTACCAGGCCACAGCTGTCATGGTGATGGTGGCTTCCTCCACAGCCTCATAGCCTGCGCTGCTCCGCTCACAGTGCCGGGTCAGCTCCTGGGGGCAGCAGGCAGAGGCCCGTCCAAGCACCCACCAGATCCCCCCGTGGGCAGGGGCCACGGCAACTGGTGGACCTGGGGCAGATTCCAGCCAGAGAGAGCCCGAGCTGGTCCCTCAGCTGCCTCTGGGGGGAGCTCCCAGTCTCACCCAGCAGGGGGCGCTGTGGGGAGCGGAGCGGGAACACTGCCTCTGGGGGGAGCTCCCAGTCTCGCCCAGCAGGGGGCACTGTGGGGAGCGGAGCGGGAACACTGCCTCTGGGGGGAGCTCCCAGTCTCGCCCAGCAGGGGGCACTGTGGGGAGCGGAGCGGGAACACTGCCTCTGGGGGGAGCTCCCAGTCTCGCCCAGCAGGGGGCACTGTGGGGAGCGGAGCGGGAACACTGCCTCTGGGGGGAGCTCCCAGTCTCGCCCAGCAGGGGGCACTGTGGGGAGCGGAGCGGGAACACTGCCTCTGGGGGGAGCTCCCAGTCTCGCCCAGCAGGGGGCACTGTGGGGAGCGGAGCGGGAACACTGCCTCTGGGGGGAGCTCCCAGTCTCGCCCAGCAGGGGGCACTGTGGGGAGCGGAGCGGGAACACTGCCTCTGGGGGGAGCTCCCAGTCTCGCCCAGCAGGGGGCACTGTGGGGAGCGGAGCGGGAACACTGCCTCTGGGGGGAGCTCCCAGTCTCGCCCAGCAGGGGGCACTGTGGGGAGCGGAGCGGGAACACTGCCTCTGGGGGGAGCTCCCAGTCTCGCCCAGCAGGGGGCACTGTGGGGAGCGGAGCGGGAACACTGCCTCTGGGGGGAGCTCCCAGTCTCGCCCAGCAGGGGGCACTGTGGGGAGCGGAGCGGGAACACTGCCTCTGGGGGGAGCTCCCAGTCTCGCCCAGCAGGGGGCACTGTGGGGAGCGGAGCGGGAACACTGCCTCTGGGGGGAGCTCCCAGTCTCGCCCAGCAGGGGGCACTGTGGGGAGCGGAGCGGGAACACTGCCTCTGGGGGGAGCTCCCAGTCTCGCCCAGCAGGGGGCACTGTGGGGAGCGGAGCGGGAACACTGCCTCTGGGGGGAGCTCCCAGTCTCGCCCAGCAGGGGGCACTGTGGGGAGCGGAGCGGGAACACTGCCTCTGGGGGGAGCTCCCAGTCTCGCCCAGCAGGGGGCACTGTGGGGAGCGGAGCGGGAATGGGGATGGTGTTTGTCTGCCCCTGCACAGGGCAAAGGGGGCGCCACCCTCCCCAGTCTGACTCCTAGCACCCTGCCCTTTTCCCGCAGCAGGGCTGGGGACAAATGCTCAGGTCATGCCCCTCTCCCGCCTCCCCCAGGCTGCTCCGTGCCCCGTCCCTCCCCACCCCTGGGCTGGGGGCCCCTACTCACTTGGGGTAGTTCATGCAGTACAGGGTGTAGATGTCAAATTCCTCGCTCTGCAAGAGAAGACGGGCCATCAGGGGAGGGGACGGCGCCGGGAGGAGGACCCTGAGGGCTGGGACAGAAGCTTGGAGGTGCCAGCCAGGGAGGATGCTCAGGTGCAGAGCGGGAGGACGGTCCCACAGCCCCTCTCCCAAAGCACAGGGCTCTCCCGGCAGCAAGATGCTGCTGATGGACGGGGGATGGGGGCCTGTTTATACAAGGAGCCCTCACTTGGCTCCGAGATGCAGCCACCTCTGGTGTGTGGCGCTCCTGGCCTGGACGGCTGTCCTGCCTGGCTGCTTCACTTCGCCCGACTCCTTCCCACTCCACCCCTCCACCTTCCCACTGGGGCTTCCACACAGGGCTCTCCCGGCAGCAAGATGCTGCTGATGGACGGGGGATGGGGGCCTGTTTATACAAGGAGCCCTCACTTGGCTCCGAGATGCAGCCACCTCTGGTGTGTGGCGCTCCTGGCCTGGACGGCTGTCCTGCCTGGCTGCTTCACTTCGCCCGACTCCTTCCCACTCCACCCCTCCACCTTCCCACTGGGGCTTCCAGACACC